TTATTTTAATTTTTCTAATATAGAAAACATTTAAATACTTTTATATTATTTATTAAGACTTAAAAAATATGTAATTTGTACTTTTATTTTTGTTCTTTATTTTTATTCATACTAAAAATATTTTCCTAAATATATTTTATTTTTGTACATATTTTATTTTTATATTGTACATATTTAATTTGATTAATATACATATATATACATATATACTTTTATTTTATTAAATACTTTAGAATAAAAAATATAAAATATTACATTTTCACTTTTATTATTATTTATACTAAGAAATACCTTTTTTTAAGTATATTTTATTTTTGTACATATTAATATATTTTATTATATATAAATAATATAACATTTTATTTTCTTAAAGAAATTAGGGTTTTACCCTTAAATAAATAAAATAAATCTTTTATTTACTTCTTCATTTTTACATTAAAAACTTTTTACATACATAAACAAACAAAAACTTTTCTTTGCATAATTCACATTATTTGATATATTTATTTATTTTGTTTATTTAAATATTGTCCATTTAAATACTTATGCATTGTGAATTCAATTTGGATGTAATAGTAAATTAGGGTTTATATTTCTTGTCAAATATCCCTCATTCAAAATTGTACCCCCATCTCTATAATCATGTTGTAATAGCTTAGAATTTTAAATTCTCGCACTTTACGCTTTCAATTATGCCATGATTAGAGAATTAGGGTTTGTATGCAAAAATCCAAATCAAAAAATAGTTTGACCTAATCAAAGACAAAATGCATGAAAATCAAACACAATGCACACTTGCACCCATAGGGTTACAATCTACTTGTTGCCTTCAAAAATGGACCATGGTATGTATGTTAGGTACTTTGGCAAAACGAAAACAAAACAAAAAAAGATCATAGTCCCCCGATGACGCTATCTTGGTTTCCTAAACAAAAATGATCAAGTCCCTCAAAAAATTTCCAAACATACTTAACACAATTGCTATCATGGTCTATACGATGACCCGCGTCTGTCCCGTTTAACATCCTAACACAAGGTTGTTCACCAAATACAATGGTGAAACAACACTGTCAAAAGGGTTAAAAACATTGGAAAAGATCTTTGAGTAAAATAGGGTAGATAGCTCTTAGTTACTTGATCAAAAGCTTGCAAAAAAAACATCCTTGCTATTTTCAAACACACTTCACAACATAATTTCAAAACATTATCCAAATCAAACTTTCAAACATTGAAATCTTTTCAAAAGACAAAAACACCTTTGTATACATTCAAACAAGAATCATTACAAAGATTGCCACAATGATGGCATCTTTTCAAAACATCTTTTAAAACCACACACAAAGCACCATTTCAAACAATTGGAAAAGAAAAGCAAGTGATCTAAACAAGTAACTAAGAGCCCATGGATAACCATGGATGAAAAGGGTGCTTGCACCTTCCCTTTTCATAATCTACTCCCCGAACCCAAGAAAACATCTCAAAGGTCTTTCCTGTGCTTTTTGACCTTTCTTTAGGATAAAATAAAAGGTCGGTGGCGACTCTTGCTAAACCGAAACATTTGCGAACATCAATGCAAAATCCCAAGTCAGTTCTCCCACTGTATCACAGTCATCGAGGGATTTATGATCTTTACACCAAAGGGTTACCACTAAAATTTCTTATGTTCGAGAGTCGTGACTGTTTTATTCTGAAGGCAACAAGTGGAGGCACCTTAGAGGTGCGTGTGTGCGAGTGTGTGGTGTTTCAGTTAAGTTTATCTTGAGTGTCAGGTTTTCTAGTGTTTGCTATTAGTCTTATCATAAAAGCCTATTAGCATTCATCTAACAATTAATTGAATAAGTACATAAAATAAAGTGCGGGAATTTTGAATCTACGCTATTACAAGGCTTCGGGATGGGGGAATTACGAACCAAAATGGGGAAAAGAAATGTAAATGGTCCTAATTAAACTATTACAATCCATAAACAATTACATCATTGTGAAAATAATGTGAATAAAATAAATGCGCGGGGGAGAAAAGAGATAGATATAAAGAGAACCTAAAAAAATCTAAATGATAAAAAGAAAGAAATGTTTTTGTTATTTTTTTGTTTAAGAAAAGTAATAATTAAATTAATGAAAATCTAATTCTAATTAATTTAATTAATTAAAAAAGATGATTAAATAATTAATTAAAACTAATTTTAATTAATAAAAATCTAAGTCTAATATTTTTTGTGATTTTGTGATTTTATGATTTCTTTTTGTTTTTTGTTATAAAGAATAAATAATTGAAGTAAAAGGAAACAAATAATAAAAGAAAAATACAAAAAAAAAAATTGGGCCAAGCTGCAAAACAAGTAATTAGGGGGGGTGAGAATTAGAAATCAATTGGCCCAATAAAATTGGCCCAGACGCTGGAGGAAAAATCTTCAGGATCCTGTGCATCTCTCCCATGAGGCCTATCATGGGTGCTCAGATCTGGATTGTTGGATCTGGATCTGGTGATATTGATGTGAGAGTGCATGATGAGCATGATTCTAACGTCAAAAACATCATGCGATCACTTGTTCATGTCATGTTCTCTAATATGAATGCAACGGTGAGTTCGTGAATGGCCTCTTAAGCACGGTTGGACGTATTCTTGGATCTATGGATCTCAGGAGTAAGGTTTGATCACTAGTTTGGATTGATTGCGCCGGGAAAAGCAGTTGCAAATTTTGGCAATTTTGAGGAATTTTGAGAACTTGGTAGAGCTTTGTGAAGAGCTTTTGGAGATCTTTTAAAGATGAATTTCGTGCCCTTTCTTGCTTGAAATGTTATGTATTTATAGAGTTAGGAGAAAAGCAATTATGGAAAGAAACAAAGCTTTCAAGGCCATGAGACAAAATTCTAACATATTGAAAGTTTGCCATATTTGGATGATTCTTTCCATTCTTGATGTTGCATGAACCTGGACAGTTTTTTGTTGGTCTTTTCATGAAATATTAGGCTCCATAATGGGTCAAGTCAAGCCCAGATGCGCTAGCCCATTATTTCTTGTATTTTTATCTAATTTATTTGATTTAATTCATATTTAAATGAATAAAAATTCAAATAAATAAAAATAAAAATCACAGTAGTGCATGGTTAGGTTTAGAGGTCCTTGTGTATGTCTTAAACTTGTTTGAACCCTAAAAGTTAGGTTCATTAACCTAAAAATGCAATTTTGCTCAAAGTTGACGTCATGCATTTCTTGAAAATTGTCTAAATTGTGTACCTCATAACTTTCTCAATTTTCATCTTTTGAAGTTGATCTTGGACTTTTTGAAAAGCCCTGGATGTCCCCTGAAATCTCTATGTTGATCATTTTTACTTTTGGAGATATAATCTTGATGTAAGTTGCCTTGACAAAAAGTGTCTTTTGTTGTCCTTCGAAAATGACCTATAATGTATGAGATCATATCTTCCAAATGAAGCATTTCTTGTACTTGAGAAAAATATCAAAGTTGTAGATAATTAAATTTTATTCAAAATGGGCTTTGGTTAGGGAATAATTGATGAAGCATGTGAAAGTTATGTCTGGTCAAAGTTCAGCTGAGTTCTCCTAAGGAAACCCTAATTTGGCAATTCTTGACTTTTGATGATCTGAGGGCTTTCCTTGAAAAATCATGATCAATCCTTGATTAAATGATGAATATCACTTAAAAATGTTGATGTTGACAAAAAATCTTGAAGTTGGATTGTATGTTGACCACAGTTGACTTTTTGACCAATATAGTTGATTTCAATCATCTAAGCCATTGGCTGAGCAAACTTATGATGTAGGACTCGAAACTTGACATAAACCTTATTGAGGACCTACGGAGAACCATGAAAGCCACTTGAGACCTTTTCAACTCAAAATTCTTTGAAGAACTCAAAACTCTAGTTGTAGACCCCCTACTTAGGAGGAGGTTTGACTGGTCAACCTTGAGTATCTTGAGAACCTTTGAAAGCATGTCTTGAGAAAAAATGGGAGGGAAAATTCTGGGATACAACACTCATCATATAAAATCTCCCATGGAGAACCTTGTTGTGCAAGAACATGCAGTTTTTCGAGACAGGTATACTCCATCTCATGAATCTATTGAGTATCATCAATTTGTATTCCCTATACCAAAATCTTAAGGGGCGGAGCTAATCATAAACATTAAAGAACCCCAAAATCTTGAGGACACCAAAAGATACCGCATGCTGGAAAAGAGGCTTAGCGCTATAGAAGGACGGGATACTCATAGCTTTGATATTTCTTCTTTATGTTTGGTTGAAGACGTGGTATTTCCTCCGAAATTTAAGATTTCGGATTTCGAAGAATACAAAGGGTCTAGTTGCCCTAAGAGCCTATTTGAAGATGTATGTTAGGAAGATAGCAGCATACCCATGCGATGACAAGTTACTTATCCACTGTTTTCAAGACAACCTTAGTGGAGCATCATTAGAATGGTACACACAATTGGAAAGAAACCACGCTCTCACCCGGAATGACTTAGCTTTTGAATTTCAGAAGCATTATCAATACAACACTGACATGGCTCCAAGTCGCATGCAACTGCAAGATTTATCTCAAAAGAGTAATGAATCCTTCAAATAACACGCACAGAGATTAAAGTAGTTGGCTGCTCGAGTACAACCGCCTTTATTGGATAAGGAGTTTATAGACATGTTCATGAGCACTCTACGAGGTCGGTACTATGAAAAAATGTTGGTTATCATATCATCACGCTTTTCTGACCTAGTAATAGTTAGGGAACGCATCAAGAACGGCATCGAAACCGGAAAAATCCAAAGCACCTCGAGTAACTCGACTAGTGAATCCCTTAGATATTTCCAAGGGGAAGAAGAAAATGAAACAAGTGCAATATGGGAAACTTATCAAACTCTCAAAACCCCATATCATGTATCTTATCATCAATATTCATGTGCAGTAGATGATCAATGCCAACAACCATCCTCTAGTCTTCAACACCAGTAGCCATGGCCTATACCAGTAAATCAGCATGTTAAGATTTCATCTCAACGTCGACATCATAATCGATAGGCTCAGAATCGAAACAATCACCATCAACGCTCGAATCAGCATAGGCGTCAAAATAGTCAAGAAGGGGAAATTCACCAGTTTGACCCGATCCCTATGACATACAATCAAATATGGTCATATCTAGTCCAAAATTCATCAATGAGCCCTAGACAAACCAGATTCATGAAGTCTTCGTTTCCTCCTTGGTACAACCCGAATGTTCAATGTGATTTTCATGGTGGAGTAGTGGGGCATTTGATTGAAGAATGCAACTCATTCAAATAAGTGATACAAGAGTTGATTGACAATAAGCAATTAACTTTTGAAGAAGATGGTCCGCATATGATGGAAAATCCCTCACCTTGATTGGTAGACCATTACATAAGCTTATCTCCAGGATAATTAGGCTTTATAATTTCAAATTGTAATTTCTTTCTTGCTAAATGTTATTTTCTATAAAAAATTTACTCTTTGGTCAAGTAATTCTAATAAAATAAGCATGCATGTTTTTGAAATCGGTTTATTCCACGAATAATCAACGACTTTCCATTTTCACTCTTCTTTCCCATTTTCAAATTAACAAACTTCGATGGAGATATAAGGATATAATTCATAGTTAACCCCCTCGAGCTAGAAGCTGGAGTTATTTCTATTCTAAAAAAACCTTAATCTTAACCAGGGGAAGGGTAGATTTCAATTAATTCGATGATGCATTCAAATCCCAAGAGAATCGAAACGATCTAAGCAAAGGTTCAAACATATATCTTTCCTTGATACATCCTCGAGAGAACAATCTAAGCAAAGGTTCAAGCATATCTCTTTCCTCGACACATCTTTGAGAAAATGATTCAAGCTAAGATTCGAGCACATCATCTTCCTCGCATTCATCATCCAAGGTTGAGGAATCAACGAATACAAATTCCATGATGTTTTCTTCCTCAATACATCAATCAAGATCGAGGAAACAATAAAAATGAAGCTTACAACAATCAGTGTGACAGTCACAAATTTTCAAAATCAAAAGCGTAAAAAAAATGAAAGCCCGCTAAGTCAAAGAAAATTGAAACTTGACTTAGGCAAAAGTTAGGGCATCCCGATGGACCGAAAATTCAAAAGAATGGGCCCATGCAAAATAAAGGGATTAAAAATAAAAAATTGGAGAATAATCTTGTGACTTCCACCTCAAGAATCATCAAGTCTTATCATCAACACTCAGATCTTATCAATGCTTTTCATCGGCGCTTGGATCTTTACCTACGCTTCTCATCATCTGCGCGACTATGAAACTTCTCTTGGGGATTAAACACATCCGTTGGATTAATCTAATTTAGGATTGAAGAACATCAAGGATATTGGGGTGGGCTAAATATATTTTGAGCCTTATATCTTTTGTTTCTTTAACCGTGAACCAGGCCACGTTACAACCTTCAAAAGTCCTAATTGAGGCTAGGTTCACTATGAAAGCATACTCAGCAAGATTTGTGTTAAACTGAATCATATGTTTGTTAAATTTATTTCTAACTACTTCACTTCTTCGAATATTCATCTCTAAATCTTCCATTTCTTTTCAAAATAATCAATTTCGATTTCAAGAACTTGCATGTGCATCAAACGGAATTACTTTTTCAAAACATACAATTTTATCTACGAATCAATATTTAGCATCAATGAGATTTCAAAATGGGTCTGATCAAAGGCAGCATTTCCAAGAAGCCTCTAACTAGGGGGAAAAGCATCTAAAGGAATCCCTATAAACAAGGGAAAATACTAATGATCGCAAGGTATATCATATGAAGATACTATTGTCAAGGGGGGATCATTTCGAGGTTCAATCAACTTGGATCATATTTCAAAACACTATTCAACTAGGGGCATACCTTTCGAAGGAACATTCCTTAATCATGTTCTTATCACAACAGGATAAGGCTCAATTTCCTCGTGTTAACAAACCTGTCAAGACCTTGATTCAGGGGAGATCTTCTAAGATGCAAATGCTGGGGAAATACGTACCAAGTTTATCCCACTACATGTAGGGTCCGAATTCTTCAAGCAACTTCAAGTACAAACTTTTCTAAACTGCAAATACTTGGGGCAACCTATGTCAAGTTCATGGTGAAGTCTAAAGTTCCTTCTAAGGGTACTTCCTCCAGATCTTGGATATTGAGGGGCATCTCTTTCAAAATTTGAATGTTGGGGCAAACTACTGCAAGGGCTCGAGTAAAAAGGAGTTGATACAAAAGGGTCCATCCAAGCCAACCATTTTCAAGAATATTTTAATTAGGGGAATAATACAAAATAGTAGGGTCATTCATATTATGATCAAACAGTTTCTAAGCTCATATTAAAGAGAATCTCCTCCAAGACCCTACCAACAAATTAGGGAAAACAGTCTACTCAGGGGAAAGCTCTCCGCGTACTTTCACAACCTTCAGTGGGTCTTTCTCCTACATCAGCAATCTCCAAGTTTGAATCAAGTATCAGGGAATCATGCAAGCACAACACTCTACCATCATGTGACAAGCAGCCTTGTTGCATAAGCAAACCTCTCCATTTCAATCATCCACGACCCATCACAGGGGTACCATTCAAAAAACCATTCAAGTCACCATTCATAAAGCATAAGGCTGCATAAGTCATGCATTAGGGCTCCTAGATCGAAAACTAAGCCATACTTTCATCTCATCCATCTACGCATTCCAATAGCATGGGTCAAGCGTATCTCCAAAAAAAATCCCAACTACGCATTCTCATTTCAAAGCCTAACTACGCACTCGCATTTCAAAATCCAACATCCACTTACACACATCCAAGTCATTCATCACATACATTAATCAATCATCTCATTTCATGCATCAATCAATCATTACACTTCATGCACCAATCAAATTTGCACGTATAGCATGAAACCTTGTTTTTTATATGAAGGCAATCATCATTATCAATCTAGCTACAAATTCTACATTTGATCTCGGCAATAGATTTCTCCTGGTTGATCATGGCAGTTGATTATCCGAAAGACATTGGCAGAAGGTATTCAAATTGAATCTCGGTAGTAGATTCTCCTGGTTAATCATAATAGCTGATTATCCGGAAGACCTCGGCAGAAGGTAACTCAAATTGAATCTCGACAGTAGATTCTCCTGGTTGATCACGACAGTTGATTATCCGAAAGACCTCGGCAGAAGGTATTTCAAATTGAATCTTGGCAGTGGATTCTCCTGGTTGATCATGGCAGTTGATTATCTAGAAGACCTCGGCAGAAGGTATTTCTCAATTGAATCTCGGCAGTAGATTCTCCCGGTTTATCGCGCCAGGGAAGACCTCGGTACAAGGTATTTCAAATTGAATCTCGGCAGTAGATTCTCCTGGTTGATCACGGTAGTTGATTATTCGGAAGACCTCGGCATAAGGTATCGCAATTGAATCTCGGTAGTATATTCTCCTGGTGGATCATGGCAGTTGATTATCCAGAAGACCTCGGCAGCAAGTAACTCAAATTGAATCTCGTCAATAGATTCTCCTGGTTGATCACGGCAGTTGATTATCCAGAAGACCTCGGTAGAAGGTAATTCAAATTGAATCTCGGCAATAGATTCCCCTGGTGGATCACGGCAGTTGATTATCCAGAAGACCTCGACAGAAGGTAGTCCTTAATTGAATCTCGGCAATAGATTCCTTGGAAATCTCGTCAGTAGATTTCCCGTTAAGAGCCTCACATTATGCATATACATCATGAATGGTATCTTTCAAATTTCGAATTTTCTTGGGTTTCATCATTAGCAAGTTTATCTGTGTGAACTCTATAGTTCAAACTTTAAAGCAATTTGGGGTTTATTTTCTTCATGTTTATAATTATGGTTGAGACGACGCAACCAACATCATCATGAATTTGGGGTTTATTTCTTCATGTTGATAGTCATGGTTGAGAACAGAGACAACCGGCGTCATCAACGAAACTTCAATTTCAACCTTCAAACTTCGATCTTATTCAGCGAACACCTTGGTTGAGAACAGACACAACTGATAAAGCTCTGATCTTATACCTTAGTTGAGAACAGACATGACTGGTATAACTTTAATCTTATTCAGCAAATACCTTAGTTGAGAACAGACACAACTGGTATATTTGCGATTTATATCTTCGGTTTAATTATCTAAGATTTTGTTATCAAACTCGAAATCCAAACTTCAAACCCGTTGTATCTATCCCCTAGGTTGTGACAGGTATATGAATCTGCAATATAACTCATTGCGTCAGTCTCCATGCAACAACGTGTTTACTCCTCTGCGATATAACCCATTGTGTCAGTCTCCATGCAACAATGTGTGAAATTCGTGATATAACTCATTGCCTCAGTCTGCATGCAGCGATGTTGTTATCAAGATTTTTTCAATTATCTATCCCATAGGTTGCAATAGATATGTGAATACATTTTCTTGCATCAATCTCCATGCAGCAATGTGTTATCAGACTTTGTCTTATTCATCCCTAGGGTTGCGATGAATATACAAAATAAAATAAAATCAAAACTTGATATATTAGTCTCCAAGCATTAGTAAGTTAGCTTTTCAAAATTGTATCATTTACCTCCTAGGTTATAGAAAGAATACAAACAACCTCTTCTTAGATACGGATGGGTTATCTGCATCATCATATCTAAGTAACCTCAACTTTGGTTCAAACGCTCATAAGATGATACATCATCATTTGTGCCTATTCTTCACACTCATGGGAACATTGTACAGCGTGTCCTTATAATATCTCGGACAAATATTGGGGTCTTCCAATATTTAATAAGCTTCTTATCAGAACGTTCTAGACCTACATATTCTCGCACTATTCAATCGAAAGATAATTAAATAGGGGCAGTTGTCATACCCCAAATTTGCCCTACCCTTATATTATATTTGGGTTTTTAATTCAATAAATCGTATTATTTAGTATTTATTTCTATGGGGTGCAAAATATGGAAGAGGGTGTGATTAACCCAAAATGGACCATCAATATCATATGGCCCATTAGATTCTAAAATGAGAGTCTGTTTATTAATGAGGGGTGTATTTGTTTTAAACAAGGTGTGAACAAAACACTAATAAGGCCCATTTAAATTCCATTCTTTATGGGGTGTACAAAACATTTCTTTGTTAAGGTTCAATACAAAGGGGAGAGGGCCCATATGGTTTTTTGTCTATTTTTTTTATATTGAAGAAGGGAGGTGTAGAAATTTTCTTTTTTTTTGTATTTGTTAAAGCCCAAAAATAGTCTAGCCCATTTCAGAAATTTCTTTTGAAATACTTTATAATTATTATAAAAAAAACACACTTCATCAAAGTTGTTATTTTGTTTCACTCAGTAAAAAGAAACGCTTGATTAAAAGCCAAGAGTGGGCTTTTTACGGACCAACTCTTTGTTATGTGTTCAAGGCCCAAAGTCAAAATTCGGTTAAAATGTGGCCCAAGTCTAAAAAAGAAATATTGTGCGGATTAATTAAGGAATAATATTTGTTTTTACAACAATAATCAACTCAGATATAATTAAGCTCCATCTCTCTCGCAAACCAGCATCACTCTCTCTTTCTTTCAAAAAAACTTGCCAAGATATTTACAGGAACAAATTGAATTTTATAGACAAACTTATTGTTTTTCCTAAAATTCTAAAAAACATAATCAAACCATTGTTTACTTCCTAATAAGATAATCCTAAAAAACACTATAAATCTAAAGAATTTAGAACGGAGAAAGGGGAGAGTAGAGGAAGATGGAAATAGCTAGCGAATAACGAAACCTCCGTTCAATTTCCCCTCAATCTTCATCTTCAAATCCCTTTTCTTCATACCATTTCATGAATCACCATACAACATCCAAACCTTCTCAATCAACTTCCAGAACATACTCCATCTGTGTAGCCGCTCAGTTTCGATACTCCCACCGAGACCGGACTACTCCTTCTGCTGATTCTGTCGCCATACCCATGGACCACACCAACCTTTTTCGCTCCATACACTTCAATGTATATTCCTCTGTCAACACTTTGAGCAATAACATGCAAACATAAAAAAAACAGATCCACGGATTCCAGATTCGGCCGCATCTCCGACACCACACTGAACCACCCTTCACTCCGACTGACCTCGATTCCACTGCCTCTTCACATCGACTCTGGTCGGTTTTTCTTGTTTACGATTATTTAAATTTGAATTTACTGCAGATCTGTTTTATGTGTTTGGATTTGAGAGAATTAAAATGGGTAATGGTAAGTTTTGAGGGAAAATGGTTTGAAAGAAAGTAAGAAAATGGATTTGTTTGAGTATGGTCTTAAGAAAGGCATAAACAGCGAGGTGGAGCTCCCCTTTAGGTCTGAATTCAATATCTGAATTCGGGCCCTGTCTATTAGCACCCTATCTTTTCACTACTCTTATATATTTTGCACCCCTGCGTTTTTTAATATTTTTCTTATTTTATTTATTTCATTTTTCATATTTTTTATTTTTTATTTTTATTTAATTATAGTAATTACTATATATTTTTATATTATATATTCAAATATATTTAATATTATATTCAATATTATTATTATTTGTCACACAAATTTCATATTTTCTAAATTCATTAAAATATTATTTTTGTTAACGACATTAAAGCTTATTTCGTGCATGCGTTTAAATAAAATTCTCTTTTAAGTAATTAAGATACTAAAAAACATCCAACCAATTACAAACCTATTTTAAAAAACCGACTGTGCATTTAGTCTAACAATCTCTACTATTCATGACACCTAGACTAAGCGCGCGGGAAATACGAATATCTTTGTAACTCATAAAAAATACAAACCACCGCAAACTATGAAATGAGACTCTGATTCCTCATAAGAGGATACGTAGGCATACGATTAAAATCGTGGCAAGTCCCGCTAAATAAAATTCAAACCCTTTTTCCCAATAATAATTAAGAACCCTATTTCCTAAAATCGTGCTTCTAAACCTAGTATCCTTGTGAACAAGGTAGATAAGAGGTGCCTAACACCTTCCCCTCATCTAGAACCGAGTTCAAATCTAGAATCTCTGACTTTTAGGGTTATTCCTTTATACTCTCTTCCTTTAGGATAAAAATTAAGGGTGGAGACTCTGATTTAAAAACCAGTTGCAACACAAGGTTGTTATTCTCTTCAACTTTCACACTCTTGTTATCTTCTTCTTGGCTATCATCTTCATTCAGAGGACCTCAAAATCTAGAGCCCTTCTGACCGAACCCTTGAATCTTCTGCCCATATTAAGAAAGACTGTTGGCTTTTTAGTCTTCTTCTTATTCCCCTTTGTGATGAGGGTCTTCAATTCGTCTTGTCCCTTAGCTAAGTCCAAAAACATTTGCTGAAACTGAGCATTCAGTGCCTGAAGTTCTTTCACAATTTGTTCGAGTGCCATCTTTTACTGAAATAAACAACAAGAAGATGAGAAAACATGTCTAGAAAGTACCTGTTATGTGATGATATGCATGATATGTAAATGCAAGTGTAATGTTTTCAAGGACCTTTGCAGGATTTAAATTTGTTTTAAAAAAAGGAAACAAAAGAAATTTTAGTAACAAGATGAAATTATAATTGTCTTCTTGGCTTACAATGATAACAAAATAGTTACAAAAGAAGTAAATTATGAACTCAAGTCTCCCATGGGCGCTTCCTCTTTGTGTTGAGATATGCATTAAGGCTTTGTTCTTCGTGGAGTCATTTCGTTAGCTCCAGTACTTTCTTCTCACTAACATAGAACTGAGCCTCAGAGGTATCTCTTTCTTCCTTGAGCTGAATCCAAAACTTCTGTAGTTCTTTGAAGTCAGTAGGCATATCGGGATGAAGAACGGTATGAGAAACATCCCCTTTAACAATAGGCTTTATGATCACTGGTAGGATAGCAGGATATGGAATTTTAAGATTCTGAGTACGAGACCGGACCCATCTGAGGTAAGGCTTTAGAGGAATGGAATTCTTGTGTCCCAAAGTCTTGCTATCAATCTTTTTGACCGTGCCCCAAGCACGTATAAATCTTTGATGGTAATTTTCAGGATTGTTCTCATAGTCGAACATAATACCCTGAATGAGCATATCATGAGGACCATCCCTTCGAGCATAACAAAACTGACGTAGAGTTAGAGAATGGTTATAAGTGATGCCTCCTCTTATACCAAGGAGTGGTACATTAGGGAATTCCTCACAGCGATCAATAATAGTGACATCTGCCTGAGATCGAGAACACCAATGGATATCTGAATGAGCGAGTGACATCAACCTTTGAGACCACCTTAAACCTTGTTCATTATTTATCACTGACCGGGAAAGATACGAAATAAACCACCTAGACAGTAGATGTATGCAACACATAAGAGTTCCTCGCTTCTTCATAGTATTAGTGTGGAGGGAATGCAGGATATCTCCAAGCAAAGTAGGTATCAGATTATGAGTGAGAAATATTTTGATGGCATTCACATCTATGAATTGGTCCAGATTAGGGAATAGTATCAAACCATAGACCAGTAAAGCCAAAATATCTTCAAAAGCACGAAAATTCATGGCATCTAGAAACCATTGAGCCTTCTCTATCAAAAATTTAGGAGAAAAACCCTTGACTCCATTCCTTGTTTCCCAATTAGATACAATGTCCGATTGTTTAAGATGTAAGGCTATTGAAATGTCTTCGGGTTTTGCAACTTGCTCTAGACCGGTGAAAGGTATCTGATCAAGAATATGCACTTAGAGTAACTTAGAGAATTCTTCCAATTTGGGCACCAACTAATAATCCGGGAAGGTAAAACAATGATGTTTAGGATCAAAGAACTGGAACAAAACACTTATCATGTCTTCTTTGAAACTGGTAGTAACCAAACTGAGTAGATGACCATGTCTCTAGGTGAATTAAGAATTGTCAGGAACTTTTGATATTAATTCCTCAAGCTTGGAAGGTACATTTACAAAGTTGGTTTAGATAGTATTCCTGCGACTGGAAGCCATGACCCTGCAACACAGAACAAAGAAAAATTCCCTAGATCCTTGAAATGGTTAGGCATGATATGATGTTATGATGTTATGATGTCATGTTTAATCGATAACAAACACAAATAAAGCACACAAGATCCTTAGGTTTAAGGCTTGCATGGGGTTCGTAGGTAAGTACCCTCTTGAAGTTTAGTTGGCTCAACCAGTCCTAAAGAAGTAATTGGGTCCTAGGGATCTCAATATTACTGATTTTTCCCACAGGTTTTGTTTAGCACGGAAATTGACTTGCCACCAAACAAGACCCAAGAGTTGAATCTCAATGAGTGTAACATCGAGTATCAACCAACTTCGGACTACACCAAAGATGTCTATCTCACTACCTTCTAACGGCTAAGTTGGGTCAATTAAGATTCTAAAGGTCAGTTAGTGCTTATGACACCACGCGACAGCCTAGTATTATCCCTGACTAACTCGAGGGACACCAATACCAACCAATGTGTCGCACTAATGCAGCCATCACTTCAACCATGCCAGTATACGCTGTATAGTTTCCATGATCTATTTCTACTCACCTAAAATGTCCCCACATTCGGGTGTAGGATCTTTACAAGAAAAGTAAACCCGAGCAAGCCCAAAAATATAAATCATACAAAGAAAACAAGGAAAGCATTTAAAAATGATCGAACTCTAAGGTAACCCCACTTTTAGAAACTCCCCAGCAGAGTCTCCAGTTTTGTAATACGGTGGGAGAACTGACTTATTTTTGTGTTTATTCACAAATATTGCGGATAACTAGAGTCGCCACCGACTTTTCTTTTACCAATAAGGAAAGTGTGAAAAGAACAAGAAATACCTTTTAAGATTTTGAGTTCGGGGGGTAGGTTATGAAAAGGGGAGGTGTTGGCACCCTTTTCATCTGTAGTTATCTACGAGCTCGTAATCGCTAGCTCACTTTATTTTGAAAATTGCTTTGCGAATGTGTGTTTGAAAAAATATTTTGAAAATGCCAATAGTAAGGCAATCTTTGTAATGATTGTCGTATCGGTCCTTGAGAACGCGTACAAAGTGTTTTATTTGAAAATATTTTTAGAAAATAAAGTGTTTGTGAAAAGATGTTTTTTTGTTTTGAAATGTTTGCGAGCAAGCGATTAAAAGTATTCTACCCTTACTCAAGGTCTTTATTATTATTTTCCTCCTCCTTTAGATAGTGATACCCCACCATTAGTTAGTAGGAAGCCCTATCGTTGGATGTGAAGGGATAGGCGCAGGTCATCGTACAGTCATAGAAGGCAACCAGTAGGGGAGATTTAGTAATTTTTGTAAGGGACTAGATCATTTACCGAAGGCAACATCGAAAGGGTCATCGAGGGACTACGATCTTTTTAATTGAGGGGTTGTGCTAAAGCATCCCCACATTCGAGTGACATGACTGTTATTCATAAGGTAACAAGAGAGGGTATCCTAGAGGTGCAAGTGTACAAAGTGTGTTGTGTTCAGTTATTTTTATCTTTGAAATTAGGGTTATCTAACGATTGTTTTTTAATCTTGCCATACAATCCTAATTATTTACAGTAAAAATAGGAAAGCGATAAAATGCTGAAAATAAAAATCTACGCTATTACAGGGCTTCGAGAATTGGAAAAAAGAAACCATAATTACTATTACAAACCATAGGCGGTTACAATAATTGGAAAAAAGCACGAGAATAACAAACTACGCGGAAATATAAAATAAGAAAGCGAAAGAAGAAGGAAATAGTTTTCTTAGCGATTTTTTTTGATAAAAAATTTGATGATTAACCTAAAACCTAAATTGGTTTTAATTAATAAAAAAATAAATGGATTAATTAAAACCTAAAGATCTAATTTGATTGATTACATAAAACCTAGAAGACTAATTAGGGTTCATGAAAAAGTTTTAGGAAAAATTAATTTGTTAAAAAAAAGTTTTTGTTTGATGAATTTAGGGTTTATAAGTAAAAATAGTAAGAAAATAAGGGTTTTAAAAAAAATTACCAGGGCTGGGTGTTGAACCCGCACCCTCAGCAGTTTCAACCAACACATTCACCACTAGGCCAGGCGCGCCTTGGTGACAAGGAGAGGAAGCCA